CAAACTACTCCAACTGTAATATTCTAAACTTTCAATTCACTTACCCTTGTAATCTTAATTTTTGAATTTCTTTGTGTTTACAAATAATGAAAATTATGTTACTAATAATATATGATCTGTATCGCGTTAACTATCTCTCCGTCCCAATTTTCTGTGCATTGAGCAAAACATGTGATCAACAATATATGATAAAAGTGCACCCAAATGAATTTTTATAGACAATTTGGCAACATGTCTTTTGCTATATGTTGGTCTAAAAGCAATCACTTAACTCAGTGAACTGTTAGATGACATTATATCAAGATAATGAATTTAATGGATGTCTTGCAGGTGTATACGCCTAACCAGTATACAATTGATGGTTGTGCTACATTTTACCGGCGTGATAAATTCAAAGAAATTGTGAAATATGAGGTAAGGAATCTCTTGCTTGTACTTATGAGGAAAAAGTGAGGAAAATCTCATTTGTGAGAATAATTTGTATGTTCCCAGTGATTGATGGTTCTGATTTGCTTTTGTAGCTTGAGTATGATAAATCAGCATTGCCATTTGTAGAAAAATTGGAACCTGAACTGAAAAAGGATGGTCGCTTTCGTCTGTTGAAGGTATACATTTCTCCTATAGTTTTCACTATGCACTATGTTCTTGTGGCTCTGATTTCTGTATCATCTGTTTGTTCTGTCAACTTCTTATACATGATTTTGCAGGACAATGTTGCACTTGTCGTTATATTAGAAAGAGTTAAAAATGAGGGATCCTTCGATGGCAATCAACCTAGAATTTGTGTGGTATTGTGCCCATTTCAAATTCTACAGCTTTACATCATTAATTTTTGGGTACTGACACAGATGTGCTTTTCCACTGCAGGCAAATACCCATATACATGCAAGTGAAAAATTTCCAGATGTAAAATGGTTTCAGGTGCAGTTTAAAATTTGTAACTGTTCCATCTATTAACGATAAGTTTAAAGAGCATGATTGACTTAACTGATTCTTTTCTGATTTACAGGTTGTGAGCCTCATCAATGGGCTTGGGACAATTGCCAACTCGAAAATTCCTCTATTGATTTGTGGAGACTTGAACTCTCTTCCTCTGAGGTTAGTCTTCTGTTCTTACTAACTGGTTTACTGAAAGACTTGGGAGAGTATGTCTGTGTGTATTTGGAATGATATCGAATCTTTGTTTGTCCTCTTTTAAGATATACTTTAAATTTTGGAAATCATTTGTTTCCATATGGAATGAGAAGCGAAGATTATTGATATACTTATTCAACATTGCAGTAATCCTCATAGTTTCATAAGTAAGGGGATACTTCAGAGTGTTCCCAACAAGGAAACCGATCCGTTAGGGGTATATCAGTATCTCCGGCCTCGTCCTATATATAAGCTGGTAAGGCCATTGTATCTCTCCTTGTTTATGGGAACATAGATATTTTCCTGGACTACACCTCTAAAGTTGGTGGAGGTTCTGAATATTTTGTTGTTGCTTGTGCCAAGGATGGTTCTTGTGATCATTTTCTAATGCCGAAGATTTTGTTTTCCAGAAAAGTGCATATGCATGTTTTTTTCAGTCAGATGGTATTGAGGAGCAACAACGAAGGAAGATGGATTCTGAAACCATGGAGCCTATATTCACCAATTTCACATCAGAATTCACAGGAACTCTGGATTATATCTTCTTCACAGGTATTCGGAGCGACTATTTCAGAATTTTATGATGCCTCAGATTTTTACCTGCATAAGTTCATCCTAATATTAGTTTTCTTTAAATGAAAAGTACATTTTTAGTTTAATTTGTCTCTGCGTTAACAGCTTATACTTTTGAAAGGCCACATGGGGGTTCCTGTCCTCTATTTATATGTCCGTCACCCGAGATCCAGATGTCCTTTCTTTGATAAGAGAGATCCAGGTGTTCTTAAAAGAGGCTTAAATTATTTCCCAAAATTACCCTTAATTTTATATTATTTGAATTCTATTCAAATATTGGTGTGCTGACTGAACAACCTTATCAGGAAAGTGGCATTGCATATAGTTATAAACACGTTAGATGGATGAGAATTACACCTACCAATCACATTTAGCCTTATATAGCTGCAGTAATTCTGCTTGATGTAATCAGCATCCAAAGGAAAGCTTACTTGCAAAGAAATTCTTTCCTTGCAATATAAAATTGAAGCTCTTCCTAGTCCCGATGCCTTGGGAACCAAGAGCTATACTTTATAAATGATGCAAGGTTGTGTTTGTCAATGGATTCTTAAGTAGGTATATGCTACCAGTACTCACTGAAATTCGTTTTCGACCAATGATTTGGCTTGTTTTAAAATGATTCAGGAAGTTTACAGGGTAAGCTTTCAGGGGGAAAAAAGAAGTTTAACCTGCCTCCCAGCGTACGTTGTTAGTTAGCAGTGTTTAGGTTAGGTTCAAAGTATCAACTACTTTACGTTTTATATTGCTCTGGATCACATGATAACAATAATTGTTTTTTGCTGCTGCTACTTGGTTGTTTGGTAGGTCTAAAATTAATTTCTATGTTGTTTGCTTGTCTTGATGTGCTGAGCAAAATTTTGCCCCCACAGTGTTGATGCGTTTATCTTGTTTCCTCTCAAATGTTTAGTTCTCTGTTTTAGGTGACAATGCTAAAAAACTAGAAGCATATTTCCTTTTTGTTTTTCTTGCCTAAATTGTATACACTACAGAAATTGAAATTATTGAAAATCTCCCTCTTATCAATTCCTGCAAAAGATAGTTATCTGCATGCTTGGACCTCCAGAGGTGCCTTAGGTAGAGCATTGGCCTATAAGCTTGTTCATGGTTCTTATGATGCTTTAGTTTTTGCATTGTCCCTCCTAATTAAATTAGACGTTTCTAGCAAAAGCTATATCATATTGGATGAATTTAAAATCTTGTGAAATGTTTTTATTGGTTATTTCTATGTGTATCATATATCTTCTTCCTTATTTGGCTTCCAAGACATTGCAAATCTAACATTTTGGTTAGAATGCGTTATGGACTACAAAATGAGATTATAGCATTCACTTGTGATGCAGTAAGTATATTGCATTGATGTATTTTTTGAAATGAACATAACCAACAGCTTGTTCCAGTTCTGAATTTTTCTTATTTATTGCCATTTGACTGTATATGTAATGCTTTCCTGCAGTTAATAGTTTGAGGCTTGAAAGTGTACTGGAGCTTCTTGACAAGGAAGCCTTAGGTTCTGGTCTTCCATCTCCTCAATGGTCATCAGACCATATTGCCCTCATGGGAAGTTTTACTTTTACCCTTGAACGAAGTTCTTACCAGGGTCAGCGCTTACTACCATATCTGCCCAGTCCATGGAGAACAGCAGCTGCACAGTAATAAGTTTTACAGGAAAGCTGAAGATGATTGATAGACTAATGTCTGGTAATTTGTATAGAATGTATTCATTCTATTCAAAACCGACGGTGATTACTACATGAAAGCTGAAGATGAATAAGAGATTAGTGTCAGGTAATTGCAGAAAAGCAGCAACTGGCCAGTAGGTACTTATATAGGATAGATGAAAATACACAGAAAGATTAGCAAACAGGTCATATGATATTTTAGGTCAATATGTAGATACACAGAAGATTAGACACAGAGGATTAGCATTGAAACTTTCTTCCCCATCATCAATCATGTAACTTGTGTTGGGTTTCCAAAACTGTGATAATTCATCTTTTTCACCATGGTAAATTTCAGGGGCCTTCTCTGTTTGCATAATTGATTGAATGCTCTATAGTGGAAATTTATCCACTTCTTATTTTACTATTCAGATTGGGCCAATTATATGATGAGGTATATGGAATGGTGCATTTGTACTTAGTGATTCGGGTAATTCAACATTTCCACATCTTGTTGTGATGGTTTGGTGAACATTTAGAATGTTCTTTTCTTTTAAGGGATTTGTATGGTTTTCATGGTTTGAGGTACACACATGTTCAGAAAGAACCCTCAATCGACAATGTGCTAATTTTCAAGGATCATATAAAAAGAAATGCTCTCTTTTTCAGATATCTGAAATGTTATGTTTTGACGGCGGATCATTATCACACATTTGGACATTATTTTGACTAATCAATGATCTTAATTTACAGTTTGCAAATATTACATGCTGGATTGTTGGAGGAGAGAAAAATGTTTAGGTTTTGCATCAAATGGTTATGAAACGTATGTAGTTAGAGTGAGACTAGCCCTCAGAACAAAAAACAAAAAGAATAAGAGACGAGTGAGTGAATACAATAACAAATGTGATGATGATATATCTACGACAGTAAAGCGTGGACCTCCACTAGAAATCGCCTTTAATTTGCAACAGGTGCTGAGGGTTAAATCATGGAAAAATCTAAAGGCTGGATCTCTTCCAATATATAATAAATTAAGCACAAGTGGGGCAGGGAACCCACCCCCTTCACCCAAGTTCGAGTTTTCCTTCCGACATATTAGATTAATTTAAAGTAGTTTTAGACTATGGTGTTATATCAAAAAAACAAAAAAAAAAAAAAAAAAAAAAAAAAAGTTAAAGGTTTTTAATTTATAAACAAAATAAAATCTAGTAGCATAATGCATATTTACATTATATATAAAAGGTCAGTATCTCTTAGCATATTAAAGCCTCCAAGGGAGACAAGTCTTGAACACAGAATTAACTCTGTTACATATTAATATATCTTCTCTTAAATAAACTTAATAAGCAGGCTTGATTTTGATCTTACAACTAACACATGAAGCTACTACACCTTGGCTTGAAAAGGGTTGGTGGGGTTTGATCAGGTGGGTGCATGTACTTGCAGTTTGGGCATGCAGGTGAAGACCTGCACAGCATAACCAACATGTGGCACTTCATGCACACAGTGGCTACCATCTCTTGGTGATGAAGATGATCAATTTGGAGCCCCAGCCTTGATGGGTTTTTGCTCTTTGTTGGTCTGCTGGGTTCCACGAAAAGATCATGGAAATTGTGAAGGGAAATGTCTGAATTAGGCCTGGAGTTTTTCACTGCTGTGATCTGAAATATTGGCTTTCCTGATCATTGATTCACAGGATCTCAAGTTGAGCTCAAGGTCTAAGCTCATGTGAGGAGCTGGACTTGGGGGCTCAGGGCTCCTCCTTGGGTCCCTAGAAGTCTTCATGTGTGTTCTTGTATTGTAAAAGTGTATCTGCCCTGACTGCACATAATAATGCACACAGCAGAAGAGAAACCATCAGAATTTAGAACATGAAAAATTAAATTGTGAAATTAACTGTGACATCTTGAACATGGTATAAAATGTATGTAAATATATTTACCTGAATATCAAGGCATCTTTGCCACTCCAAAGGCAATGGAGTCTCTTGGTGAAGCTCAATATCAAACAAGGATTTGGCTGTGTTTAGTGGTTTCCAACGCTTTTCGAAAATTTGTTCAACTTGATCATGATCGTGACCATCATATGGCTCATCATCCCACTTTCTTTTCTTGGATGAATTCTCAGACTCTGTGATTGCCTTCTTCTGGTTTGGAGAAAGGGGATGAGCTTGAAAAGAAACCATAGCTGTTAGCTAAGCTAGCTGCTTCAATTTACTCAGAGACAAGTAAGACTTCTACTCTCTCTCTCTCTCTCTCTCTCTCTCTCATACACACACAGAGAGTTGAGAATTGAGGGTTGAGTCGTAGAAGTTAAATGCTTGGAGAAAGTTTTGGTTGTTATATAGGCTTGATGAGGTTTGGCCACAACTGCAAGGGAGAATCTAATAGGGGCAAAATTTAAAGGTACAACTAAAAGAAACCTGGCCTACCCATGCATGACGTGCATTCCAAGTTGGTTCTCTTCAATTAACTCTGTTTTCTATATCAGAGAGAGAGAGAGAGAGAGAGAGAGAGAGAGAGCGCCAAGCCAGCTCTCTATTAAAGCCTAAGATGTGAAGTCCTAACCAACTCAACTCCTTGGTCTAATACCCCCAACCCCCCTGATCCTGATGCCACCCAACACAGCCAACTATATAAATCCTAGCACTCAATTTGGGCTGCATCGACTGTACTTTGGAGAAATACTTATCTTGTCGCGTGATAGTGATGAGCGGTACAACAATCCAGTTAAAATACAACATGTGTTTAAGTGTGATGACCAACTCTTAATAATGGACTGTTGTGCTACTCAACATTGTCAAGTGACAAGAACAACCCTACCTAAGTTTTTCGTGTCTCGGAAATTAAGTGAGCTAGCCAAGCCAAGAGCCAGTAGTTGCAAGCCAAATGTACTTCAAATGCCAAGTTATGATACTCATGAGAGGCGGTGAGATGGGAAAGAAGGTGTGTGAAGTGGTCATTAAATGAGGAGAGTCTGTATACGGTTGAAGAAGGTCTTGAATGGCTATGGGATCTTTAATATACACAATAACTCCAACTTCCCACAATTGAGTTACTCAAAGAACAACAAGAAACTTTTAAAGCTCTCAACACCCAAGCTCTCAGCCATCAATAACCTCATTCCATGACATGAGCCATGAAATTAATCTCTGCAACTAATTTAACTATGCCTTTAAAGCTCTCAACACCATCGGCTATTAATTGTAAATCAACCATATATATGTCCTATATTTTTATTTACTTTATTGAATTTTTGTTTGGTTTTTTCATTATTTTTATGAAGCATACCCTGGCATTCATGCCCCCCAAAATATCCATTTGCTCCTAATATCAAGGTCCCCTGTTTATTCTTGGACCAACAAGTCATCAAAATGCCGTCTTTTTAATTGTTGTTTTTCGTGTGTGAGAAATCCCATCTCTTGTAGTTTAGATAATCGCTTGTACTAAAAAAAAAGCAATAATCTTTTTATTGATAAATAGTTTTATCATAATGAAATATCCTTAAACAAGTGAACAGCTTATGTATTGCAAGCATCATGCACCAAAAATTCATTGATGTCACTGATTAAAGAGGTAGTGTGGTGGTACCTCTACCCTTATTAAAGAGACAGTTTTGAGTTCAGCTTCTAATGGAGTAGGCAGTTGAAGTACCTAATATTTCTGTCCTTCATAATAATAATTTTTTCTTAAAAAACAAAAGAAAATTAAAAATGATAACATAAAAAAGAGACATTAATTGAGTTTCATTCATGGCCCTCCTATCCTAACTACTCTTTTTCTTTTTTGCTTTTTCTCTTCAGCTTCTTATATCCTTGAAGAGAATACCATTTTGGCCTCAAGATTGCAAGTTTTAGTGCCAATAAGTTCCTTTTCTTGGAGAGGTATACTTAGCCAAAATTCACCAACCAAATATAAATTGGTGAGGGACCCTCAATAGACTAGGCAACTAATGACATAAATACCAGGACTGTTTACTGCTACTAGTCAAAAGAGTTGGGACACACACAAAAATGTTTTCCTAACAAAGGGTATTTTTGTAAGGTAGCCACAAAATTGAAAACAAGAAAATGGAGAAAGAAAGAAAAAAAAATAGATAAACCAAGAAATTTAAAAGGAAAAAAAAACCCAAAAGGGTCCCAATGGTATTAAAGGCTTTGAGGGAGAGAGAGTTTTCAAGTATTGTTCACCTGCCTTCATTAAATCATCTTGAATTCACTTCAATGCAGAATTCAAGGATGACCATTGAAACCACCCTCACTTTCTTCAACATATATCTTTCTTCGTCACTCTCATCAGCACCCGTTTATTTGCTTCTGTTAAATGCTCCCAACCCACCTCTTCTTCCCTTCATTTATGTTCTTCTCTTCATAGCCTCTCTCTCTCTCTCTCTCTCTCTCTCTCTCTCTCTCTCTCTCTCTCTCTGAAAATTTATTCATGAAGTTTCAATCACTTCCCCATATAAGGATGGACTGTCAGAATATCTACTCTCTTGTGTGTTCATAAATTCCAGAGAGTTAAATTGTTTGTAAGCCATTTGCACTTATTTTCAAGTGCAGTGTCCTAGCAGCAGGAGCTTCTATAGTGCAAGAAATTGAAAAGGGAAAAAAGAACCGACAATTGTTTATGCTTCAACTAAATTTCTCAGTTCAAAGTCATTAATTTGACAATAATATATTTAACAACCATGCACGCAATCTACAAAATTCAACTGTGAGAGAAGCTTAATTATGTGGGACAATAATATTTAACAACTATGAGAGAAGCTTATGTGGGACTTTACGTAATTGGAGTCTTGTGTGACTATATCTCTTATTACGTGACTACTTAACTAAGTTTTACATTGTAAGATGATGATTGATGTTCTCTTATCAAACAAATGCTTATGTTGCCATACTATAAATCTGAACCATTGATTATATTGATTGTTGCCTGAATATTACGATAATTAAAAACCCATCATTGATATTTATTTTGTGGGAATATTATACTAGTGGATTAGGAGGTTAATTTATGGTGGATGCATGATATTATGCATGTATCATAAATTCACAATGAGTGTGGCGTATGCAATTATCTTGTAAGTTGTATTGATGGCTTTGATATGAGATGAAGGAGGTGGGAGTGGCAAAATCCATTACCTAGAAAGCAGCCTCTCAAGATTCATCACCTCCTGTCGTTTTTAGATTAAATTAATTAAACAATCTGTTGAGCGTTGAGTTCCCGTCAGCCCGTGGGCATCGTAAGGGTTTTGAAACAAAAGCTTTATATATATGTGCATCATGCATGCATTCAAAAATTTTAATCAAGAATATCTGTAGCACTTCTCTATAGCTTTTATTAATACTAGCCCCTTGGCACATGCTCACGTATGTACCAATTGGTTTTATTTTTTATTTTTTATTTTAGAATTAAGAAAAGATAACATAGGTAGTTATGTTCCATAAAAGTAGGACATATTATCTGATTTTTTTTAATATGAAAAAAATGTGAATTTATCATATTATCCTCATTTAATTAATAATTTCAATTCTTAATATTTGAATTAATCAAGGGCATTTTTTGGTATTTTGAATGTTTCACTATTCTCTGCTTTTTGCTTTATATATATAGATAAAAAATCAACAATATTAAAGGTATCAAGAGGTTGATTAACTTTTATTCACCAAATAATGTGGGAGATGACTGGAAACCTACGCGAAATTTCTCATATATATGAGATTCTCGCTTGACGGATATGTTGCAAAGTTGCAAATATAACGTCACAAGTTTCGTTATGCACTATTAATTAATTTTGAATTGAATATTCTAATTTTTTTTCATAATATATGAGCAAACAATTTATATGTCATACCAAACGACCCTATGTAATTCACATAATCTAATGTGAATTGTCTACGTGTATTATTAGCTCTATTGAAGTGGGTTGGATTACTCTTTTCTTTCACCATAAGCAAAGTATAGTTTTCATGCATTTACATGACAGGACCAAGTTGTATATGATATTCCGTTAAGAAAAATAATTGTCTTATGTTCCTGCTAATTATAATTTAACATGTGTGTAGAAATTTTTTTTATATTTTTAAATATTTAAATATTGTATTTTTGATGAATTATGTTTACAGATACATCAAATTGTAATTTACAAAAAAGAAAAGTATCTTCTTCCTGAGAATCACGCAAGCAGTATCATTTTATATATTAGGGGCCCATCGTCCTGACCAGACTTTTAGTAACCTGAGAAGTTCAGTGGATGGTCATTGCCTGGGTGGTTGCTTGTGTCATTGACTCTTAGGCAAAGGTGATATATACAGAGCAGAGCAGAGAGGCCATTCACTCGCATAGTCGCATTCATACCTTACAAGCTATATCTATTTCTTTCTCTGCTTAATTTCTTATCCTTCTTTTCTTTTCTTTTCTGGTAAGTTCTTATATCCTTCTTTCCGGATTGAGTGAGGCACCTTCAATTGCGTTTTACTATTATAGGGGAAACTTCTGTTTTTGTTTTTTTTGTTTTTTTTGTTTTTTGTTTTTAATTATATATATTTTATGAAGAGCCACTAGATATGCTTTGGTAAATTAGATTTATTTGGTGAACATCATGGAGTTCATGGACTTATATAATTGCTTATTTATTTGTTTAGAGAAAGGAGAGGGCAATAATCAAACTCTTACTATATGTTTCATCTCTAAAAAGCCCCGTCGTTTAATTTATAATTTTAGAATAAGGTTGATGGAGACACCCCAATCCCATGTAGACCCACTGATTTTTGACACACAACTTCAAGTTGAAGACTTTTATTATTACAAACTCTAATGCCGGGGGCAGGTTTCGAACCTCAAACTCAGTATGAGGTTAAACACTCTTAACTACTACGGTATGATTTTACTGGCCATCCCAACTTCAATGTAGGAATAAAAACTCTAAAACTTTATATATACTTTAAAATATCTTATTCCAAACTAAAAAAGATTATATCAAACTATAAACCAAAACTTTATTAAGTATTCCGTTAAAATCAATAAAATAATTTTGCTAAGGAAAACTTATATCAAGTTTGCAATAACTAAGAAAAATTATTGTGACTTCAACAAAAAAAAGGGGAAAAATTATTGTGTGATACAAAAATATGATCATGTGATATAATCAGTCTACGTTTTATAATATGGGTAGATAATATAATTCGTATTTCCCATAATAAATCAGTAAACTTCAGTCATATACTTTGATATGCTTAGTGCAAAACATAAGGTTACGCAACGAAAAGAAAACCTTTATACATTTATGAGGGCCTAATAAATCACCGAAGTAATCGGTCCATCTAATATGTCAACCACTTTGCAGGATATATTGGCCCTGTACTACTCACTCAAATCTTGATGGGTCATCTATCTGTCCCATTGGGCACATCCATGTCATCATTGGATAAATTTGGGCCGAAAATACCCCCAGTATTTTCAAGTTAATGCTCCTACAGCCCACCCTGGTTAAGCTGTTAACTTGTCGGCTACAGCACACACATTATTCTTTATCAATTTATCATAGTAGTTTATGATCCAATAAGATTTGCTTCATTTGTGTATAAAAACAACGATGTAACACGTAAGGGGTTTGTAGCTCAAATGATTTTAGAGTATTTATCTTTGTAACTGAGATTCTAGGTTTGTTTCCCCCTTCTCTCAATATGACTTGTATCAAAAAGCAACAATGTAACACAAAAATGTAATTTAATTGCATCTAGCTTGGAATCCATGTACAATCTCATACATTATAATAATACTAGAGTCATCAAAAACTGTCCCAAATTTAAGTTGCCAAATAAATATATGACATGCCGTTATCTTACTTACTAGAAACAATAAAGTTTAAAGTGACACCGTATATGAATAAATGAAACACTACGCATCATTTCGGATATGAAATTTTGGGATTTGTTTTGACATCCCTATCATTACTCTTTTTCATCAATGGTATCCTTAAGGTCACCTTGAACAAATCGACGCCAGTACCAATGCTTCACCCACACCGTATGCACTTGATCCAATGGGATTCCTTTAGTCTCTGGCAAGAAAAGCACGACGAAGACGGTCATTGCCAGAATCCAACCGCCGTAGAACAAGAATGTGGCATATTTTAAAGAGATATTTAGTAATATACCCATTCTTAGCACTAAAACTATAAATAAACCCTACATCATTTCATTTTTATAAACATACCCAAAAAAAACCCAAAAAATGACAAATGGTACTATTAAATTTAATTTTAATTATTAATTTACTTTGATACCCTATTGAGTGTTTTGATGAAATTTTGGGTTGGGTTTGTTTTAAGAAATCAATGGCAATTTTGTAATTTAAAAGAAGTTAAAAGTCTTTTTGTTATGTTATAAATGGGCTTTGGGTGTATTTATAAATTCCATTTCATATAGGGTTTTTTTATAATTTGGGCTCCTATATTGGGTATATTAGTGAATCTCCCTATTTTAAATAGCATAGCATGGACAAAAAGGTTTGGGATAGCACAAATGTAACACCAAAGTTGGCAGCAAGCCCCATGCTTTGGCCTGTGGGTCGAATTTTCATGGGGAAAATCTCACTTGGTATAAGCCAACTCAAAGGACCCCATGACCAACCAAAACCAGCGGCATATATACACATCAACACCAGAACTATCTCGCCATCGGTACCTGTTGTAGCTGCTAGAACAATAGCCACCGCAACCTGCACAAAAACGTATGCCAATTTATATGTTATGCAGCTCGCTTCATGATTGTATTTCACCTGCACATAGTGGCTTTCATTCTAGGACCTTTGACCATAAACCCAATCAGTTTTAATTGTAAGGGTTTCATACTCAAATCAAATGTATTATCTTTTTCAAGGTAAAATTATACATACCTGACAGATGACCATTCGGATGCCACCCTCCATGAACAAAAACCTCCGGCCATGACGATCAACCATGTACGTCGACACAAGGGTCGAGCCAAGATTAACCAACCCAAGAATAATAGACGCAATGAGAGCAGAGTCGTTGCCAAACCCTACAGACTGAAACAACACAGGCGCATAGAAAGCAATGATATTAATGCCAGTGACCTGCTGAAAAAACGGCACGGCAATGGCCCCGATCACAAGCTGAGGCCTGTACTGCCTCTGAAATATGGTCACAAATGGCTCCTCGTTGCTTTGGCGATCTCGCTATCCTTAACTAGCTGGGCAAGTTCTGCTTCGATATCCTCCTTGCCGCGAATTTTGATGAGAGATTTTCTGGCTTGGTCTAGTCTGTTGCGTTGTACTAAGCTTGTGGGTGAGTCTGAGATGAAGAGGGCGCCGGTGGTCATGATGGTGGCTGGGACTATGGCTAGGCGGAGGGAGAGGCGCCAGCCCCAGCTGTGCTTCGAGGTGGCGTAGTTTATGCAGTTGGAGGCCACCACCCTGATTCCGATGCAGAACTGGAAGCCTGTGCTGAATGCGCCGCGCCACTTGGGTGGTGCGATCTCGGAGAGGTAGATTGGTGCAGACTGTTTGGAGATTGTTAGAAGGGGATGTTAGTAAATGTGGATTCATACTGAGCAATGCAATTGGTTTTCTTATTTTTTATTTTTCGACAAGACAATTCTAAACTATTATAATGTAAGAGTTGTAGTTGAATTTTTGTGCAGGAGAGAAAGGAGTAGAGACACATGCGTTGGTAAATTGACTTAACCCACATTTGCATGCAATATTACTCCAATGCATATTATAACTGTGAGATTAATTAAATACCTAAATGCATAAAATTTCGTACATTGTTAATGCAATTTTTTATTTGCATTTCTTATCAACAATGGGGGAGAAATAACATTAGACCAACACCAATTGATGGACTAGGTATTTTAGTACCTTGTCATATGTAATCGAGTCTCTAGAGAAAATATCATAAGTTCAGGATAAAACTCTTTGTACGATCTCAATTGATTTGTGAGACACTTTTTTTTGGCTCCACGTCTTAATTCTCTTATCAAATAGTTTGATATGTTGTAAAAACTAATAAGTAAGATAGAATTTTATTCCAAATGCGTGGTTCTTAAACAAAGGTTCACGTTCAAACACTGGCGGAACCACATAAAAAATAAACATATATAGCCAAGTATTTTAACTTAAAAATTAAAAAAAAAATACACAATTTCATACTTTACCAATACCAATAGGCATAGTCAGAGGTCTTCTGTGTTTGTATTTGGTGTCAAAGATTGTTGCAACACCAATACGCATAGTAAGGGTAAAGTCTTAGCTCTAATTCTCCAATTTTAATCTTTTTTTATTAATTTGACTCTGAAAAAGAGAAGCATTTTTCTAAATGAAATTCACCCTTCCGTGAATAATATGACTATGATTTCATTTGTTTTTTTTTTCTTGTGTTTGCAACTAGCGTGATTTATATAATAGTATACTTTTATTTCTAGAAACTGTTTTTTTTTAAAATATTTATAAATATAATTAGATTTTAAGCTAATAACTTTAACAAACCCACCTTCTGAAATTCATGGTTCTGCCTTCTAGTTCAAATTTATGTAATTGCAACATATAAAAGTAGGTACGTAACCATAATATGAAAATAAAAGTCAAGATGATGCTACTCATATAATAATGAGAGGGAGAGAGAATTGTATAATTCTTTGTTTAATAATATGAATCACTTAACCAAATGATAATGAGGGGAAGAAAGCACTAGAAAGGCTTTTAAAAAGCGGCTATACTCAATGTTGTTTTAAGATATATCGCCGCTTGGCTGTACTTTGATTTTTTGACACGTGGCGAAGCAGCGCTAGAAGCCAGGCGGTGGTCTTTTTTTAATTATAAATCGTATAGCCGTGCGGCTATACTACTGTTTTTATTATAAAAATAGTATAGCCGTCCGGCTATAACCTTTACATATAAAAATAGAAAGAGCTCGGAACCTGAGAGCTGTAATGGTGCGGTGGGTTCCGTAAAGAGCACCATAACAACGATAAATGGAAAACTCAGACTCTGACGAGCCAGAGAAGAAGAGGCCTCATTTAAACTCACTTTCGCCCACCGTGGCTTGTAGCTCCACCACTTCTCCACCCAATAACCATAGCGTAATCCCTCTCTCTCTCTCTCTCTCTCTCTCTCTTTGAAAAAAAAACAAAAATACTGTGATTGATGGGTGATTGGAGATAGGAAGTAGATTGAAATGTATTGGTATTTTGTGTACGTACTATACGTGCCCAGGTCGATGCAGCAGTTCTCCAGTACCAGAACCAGAGACTTCTTCAGCAAATAGACAAACAGAAGCATGATTTGCAAGATCTTGAAGCCAAAATTAAGGAACTAAAGGATAAGCAAGGTTTACCCTTGTTTGGTGATGTTGCCACCTTTTGATTGCGCGTTGAATATGTAAATTTTCTGTTATGGGTGACAGGTGAGCTGGATGACAGCATGACTGAACTAGAGGAGAGTAGGAGAAAACTAGTGAATCTGAAAATGCAAAAGGATGTCGCATCTGGGATGCATAACCTTACTTCTGGTGCAGTGAATGGAACCCTATCACCTGAAAAATCAACAGAAGCGACAATAAGCTTGCGGGAACTTAAGAAATTCAATCGAGGAAACAAAGGTATGGATAATGCCAAAACTCCTTTGTACCAGCAACCTTCCTCACTCTTTCGCTAAAACCCCAGCTTGATGTATTTGCAGAGATGCCAGACCCTCCAGGAAGAAGGAAATCTGAAAGAAAAAACTACGCCGTTCAAGTTTTCCGAAAATGGGCGGGCTAGGCGGGCTAGGCGGGTCCTTTTTATATAAATAAATAGTATAGCCGCCCGGCTATACTCCATAAATAATATATTTGAACAGTATAGCAGTTCGGCAATACCCTTATTTATTTATTTATTTTTAAATTAAAATTTTTTCTTGCTCCAGATTCATTCTTTCTTATGGAACGGATGTGCCTGGCTGCCAATCAGTGTCGTTGCCCAATCACGACTAGTGTAAATTTCGATCAACACCCGATTCTCACCTAAGCTTTAGGTTCACTATCTGGTTTTGGAACATGGCCAAAAACTTGAGAATTAAAACTTAATATCTAAGCTCAGTATCCTTACATATCAACTCTGTCAAGAATGGTGTGCACTTAAAATCTAATATTCATACCCCAAACTCTGTCAAGGATGGAGTGCAACTTTTATTTCGCTTTGCCACCTCTCACCGAGAGCCACTTTTTTGTATGAATATATTGACAGGATTATTACACAATTATGATGGGTAGAGATTGAGTCCAGATGATCTTGATCACATTTCAACCTTGTCACTTGAGCCAAAACTCACCAATCTCTCTTTGAAAAAGAAGAAAAGGGTCGGGACGATTGATCGGGATCACTAATTATAAGTTTGGGCTCGTGGGGATTGAATCTCTAACAAAAATTAAAGATAAACAATACATGATCTGATCTGCAACTAATATAAGAAATCGGAGGGTATCCATTATTAGTAGCAATCTACAAGCAGGAGGAACCCTATGAGGGTTCATGAAATGCATATTTATTTGAGTTAAACATCAAATAGCATCACCATCAACTCAATATGAAATAGAAATACCAAGGATATCTTTAGGACCTTCGTCCTGATGAACTCAATAAATAGCATCACCATAAAAATCGAAAAGAAAAAAGCACATAAATTCAGAATCACCAACGGATAATGAAAAATTGTTAATTAAATTTAGTGATAATTTGAATGTTTAATCAACTAAAGGCAAGAGAACAAAGGAAATTGCCATACTGTAAGATTAGTGCTGACTGCAACCATTCCATATGCTTTGCAACTGCATCAGGCCTGAAATTGTTACACTCAATCATGAGAAAGAGGACTAAATTTTATCTGACAAAATCAATGATTAACTACAAAGACATAATAAACCTTCACTCGGTCATACCATCTTGAGGACTAAATTATTCAATTATAAAATTAGAAGGTATTCAAAATATGATTCATTCCGCCCACTCCCAAGCTCATTCACGTTTGTTTAAATTAACCCAAAGATTATTAAGCAAATCCTGAACTGAAACAACGTGTTCATATACTTGAAGAAGTGCTAGCAGTGCACTGACCCGAGAGAAGATGAAATCCATTCCCTAAGGGTTCGAACATTCAACATAGTTTCAACTGTGTTGTAAAGGTGTTTAAAACTACCACAGCTGCAAATATCAAAAGAGTTATATATGCCACAAATATTTTTCAGAAACGGAATACTGCCACTTTTTATGGGCCATCCTCTCCAGCAAACATTCGGTTACTCTTTTCTTTGAGGGATGCAGCCTGCATTGTGGCATAGACAACATTAATTAGAAAACACTATATTCGCCCAATCCCTTCCCCCCACAAGACACTAGTTACGAATGGGACAACACGACCTCTGCCAATTTCCAAGGTTTCAGGCGTGGTACGTTGCCTTGAGTAGTCCAACAGAATCCCGTCAAACTCACAATTAAGTGTTATGTTTGTTTTAGGTGAACCTGGAGATGCTACTAAGATTGAATCCCATACTCAAACTCATACAGATCCGACTATGGAGATCTAAACGGGAGTCGCTAAAACTCCAGCTTGAAGTATTTGCAGAGATGCCAAACCAGCCAGGAAAAATGAAATCTGAAAAAAAAACCCCATTCAAGTTTTCCAAGAATCGGCCGCCTAGGCCTAGCTAGGCGTTTTTATTTTATTTTATAAATAGTATCTACTCACGGCTATACTCTTGAAATAATATATTTAAGTACGGCCGCGCGACTATACTGCTTAAATAATATATTTAAACAATAAGATTTAGGACACGTGGCGAAGCGGGGGCTAGGCGCCAGGTAGTCCTTTTTTCCATAAATAGTATAGCCGTGCGGCTATACGCGGCAACTTTTATAATAAAAATAGCATAGCCGTGCGGCTATACTGTGACTAGAGCCGGGATTTGTCAACAGTATAGCCGCGCGGCTATACTATTTGCATAACACACGTTGGTAGATTTTTACAGAATGCATCTAATCCTTTAACCCAACTACCAAGACTACAACCAAATATTTACACAGAGAACGCATCTAACATAGTCCCTGAATATGGGCTATGTTTCTTCAACCACCACAAGTACAACCAAGCACACAGAATATAGATTGCTTTTTAAAAGGAAAAACAAAAAAAAATTTGAAAGCATAAGTAAAGCATGCCATGTCCTAAAATCTTATGTGCCGTATCAAATACAAAATGCTTCTCTACATGTCTTTAACAGATGAATGCATCCCTCCTTCAAGAACTATGCCACTGAAATAAACTCGTGAACACAGACAATCTCATTGTTCCAATCAGGTAGGTCCTAAAATGAAGGAGCTAAAAGAAAGCTAATATGTTTGACAGCAGTAGTGGGAAATCACTTCAAAAGCCTCAAGACATGGATTCATTTCATACCATTAGCATCTTACCAGCTCTTAATTCATTGATATAGAGAACTGGAAAATAATCAATTAAAAATTGATACGTAAGAACTTACAAATGCAGTTGCCTCCCCCTTGCTGTTTCGATGGCCTCTGGATCTACAAAATGTAATCAAACCAGTGAACACTCCCAAAGTTTAGTCCAAAGCAAGCTTAATCATTTTCACAAGGAAACTCACACTAAATAGCAAACAAGACTGCAAAATAGAGTTATAAATTGACAAACTGGAAAGTTAGGACCTAAGAAGCTGCCACCGATACCAACAGCAATGACATCAGGGCTTTTCCTGTGGTACCAACCGATACAATCCCCACTCAGACGAGGTAGTTTGTTTGTTCTTGTAAAATAATAATAATAATAATCATGCTCGTTGTTGTGATGAAGCAAACCCGAAAAGTTTTTCATTGCCTTGATTTATATATTTTGCAGGTTACAAGGAAGCTTGAGGGTCAAGCCAAAAGAGTGACTAGCCTTGTCTTCTCGAACACTCTGAATGTACTAGTTTCTTCTGGTGCTGATGCATATTGGAAACTACAATTACTTTCAGACATGGCTTTTACTCTAATGTGACTTCTGTTATTTAACGACGTCATTTTGGCCCTGCAGATTTTTGTGTGGGGTGCTGCTGGGTGGGAAAAACAGAGAAGCAAATTGAAAGGGATGAAATAATGATCAAAACCAATATTCTAGATGCAGTTAACTGAAGAGCTGGAGTCAAACTTAGAGTAATGAAAAAGAACCAGTTTGCAGTCTAGGTGAACTAAGTTTTATTCTTCCAAAAATGACCCTCACATTTTTCCTCTCAACCAGAGTTGTGGTTCTGGTGATGTTTTTGTTTTGAATCATCTGATTTACTTTCCGGTTCCTGCAATATATTATCCAACACTTTCTTACATGCTTCATGCCTAAGTTGTCTTTTCAACATCAGTGGATGGCAAGATCAAAATATGGTTATATGATAGCTTTGAAGGCAGTGCAGTACCAAACTGGCACATAGTGCTGATGTTCAAAGGTTCAACTTATATGGCCTGCGATTCCCATCTTTTATTTCCTGATTGATATCTTCGGGTGAATATGGTAATGTTAGTTTTGATTGAGGTCATGTAGGGGCTTTTTCATGTGGGATCAGCCAAGGAGGGAAACAATCAGAGCCAGGGGCGACCAAGTGTAAAAACATGGATTTGTTTTTTTGTTTTTTTATATTAAGAGAGATTACATGAGCCTCAACTAAACCAACATCTTCCATTGCAAAAATGCGAAGAAGTGAACATTGAACTCCTCTCAAAGGATTTTTATTTATTTATTTCGTTCGAACTACACAAATATAAGAAATCCAGGCCTAGATTTCTTCTTTATGTCTTCTTTATGAATTTCTGACTCCTCAATCTTCTGCTTTCAAATACTTCATTCCTAGTCCTAGATCGAGGACACAATACAAAGATCATAGTAACCAGTACTGTGTTGTCTACTGGACTGCTGATCCTGGGCCTAACCCTGCTATTATATGTGAGGAAGAGCCAGCAACAAATATATGGTAAGCTATTTGATTTTCTACTCTTCTGCTCCTCCATCTTCTAAGATAGGTAGGTTCAGTTCTACAGAATTTTTTTGCTGTTGCCTCTCTGGTTTCTAAGCTAAGGTTCCGTGCTACATTGTTTACTTCACTACGTACTTCACAGGAGAACTGAAGCCCGGCCAAGAGGAAGATCTGGAATTACCATTATTTGACTTGGCCGCTGTTGTTTGTGCAACCAAAAACTTTTCAAACAACAATAAACTTGGAGAAGGTGGTTTCGGATCAATCTTTAAGGTAAAATCAAATACAGTTCTTCCTACAGTTAGCTTGACAGTTTCCACATGTCATTTGGGTCAGGACTAAGGTGGTGTAATTTTTATTTATTTATTTTTTCTGTTCTTCGTGGGTTGGTTTTGTGTTCCTATGCAAGAGGAGGAGGAGACAAATCTTTCATTTTTTTTTTTTATCAGCAAACAAGAGGGCATGATCAAATATCAAAATCTATAACAGAAATGCAATATCCAAAGAATGAAAAGCAGTCCAACCAAGAAGAACCATCAATGGATGAATGTTGAATGCATAAATATTTATTAAGTTTCAAGCAAGAGGAACCAAACCAATCAATCTATTGCTTAACCAAACCAGAAATAAATAGTCAGAATTTGAGATTGGGGCCTAAAAACCAAACCTTGTTATTGGCAAGACCACCGAAATTCCATGATAGGAAACTTTTTATTTAGGGTTCCCATGACTTGTGCTTGCTTCGGCTTCCAAATCTCAATCTCA